AGCTTCCAGCTCGTTCAGAATACAGCAGCTAGGATCTTAACAGGTACCAAAAGGAGGGAGCACATAGCTCCGGTGTTAAAATCACTCCACTGGCTCCCTGTGGAGTACAGAATAAAGTTTAAAATCCTACTCTTAACATATAAAGCCATAAATGGCTTGGCTCCTTCTTATCTCCAAGACACGTTAGTGTCGTATCAACCAAGTCGAGCGTTGCGCTCACAAAACGCCAGACGTCTGGTGGTCCCTAAGGTCTCAAAGGTCACTGTTGGTGGCAGAGCATTTAGCTACCAAGCTCCTTTACTGTGGAATCAGCTTCCCATTTATGTTAAGGAAGCAGATACGGTCTCCACATTCAAGGCCAGGCTTAAAGCACTTTACTTTAATTTAGCATATAATTAGGTAATATATAATATGTAGTGTATATATTATATATATATGCTGTATTATGTTATATATTATGTTATATATTATTCAATAATGTATTGTGTTATGTTGTATATTATGTTATATATTATGCTGTATGTTATTCTTTATTCAAGGCTAGGTTTAAAACAGTCCTCTTTAGTTTAGCATATGGCTAGGAAGGTAAGACTCGGAGAAGGTTAAACTCCTCAGAGTGTTAGTCAAGCTGCATAGGGAGTCAGTTTGCTGGGAGAAGTATGGTAACTTGAGCACTATCCTCTCCTCCTTCCTACTTTATCTGTTTAGCATTTTTAGGATTCTGACTGTAGTTTGTTCATTGCTATTCACCCGTTGTCCCATTGTCTGTTTCATGGTACGATGACGGGATCTCTGAGCCTGGCCTCTTCCATCTACACCTGCGGACTGCCCCGCCCGACCCGCCTGGGAGTGCTTCGGTCCTGCACCGGACCTGTCCACGTTCAGCGTCCACTGGTCCACGTTCTGTAGCTAGCTTAGGTCCTAGATCATTAGTCTGTCCGTCCGGAGGAGCGGATCCCTTTCTCATATGGGTCTCCCTCCCTGTGGGTTTCCCTAGTTCTCCTCCAAGGTTTCTCACTTTTTCCCACTGGGTTTTTTAAGAGTTTTTCCTTGTCGATGCAGGAGGGTCTTGTTGGACAGTTAGTGTCCAACAGAAAGGATTGGTGATGATCAGGACACTTTAGCATTCTACAACATGTATGGACATTTTCTTCTGTGTGTGCTTTATACTGTATTCTTCATGTGTTTTTAACTGTTGATTCTCTGACCTGTGTTGGTGATTTCAATGGTTTTGTTAAGTCCTCTGAGATGACTTCTGTTGTGACCTAGGGCTATACAAGAATAAATTGTATTGTATTGTATTGTATTGTATCATCGAGTCCATCCTCACCTCCTCCGTCACCGTGTGGTTTGCTAGAGCCAAAGTCAGGGACAAACAGAGCGCTCTGCAGAGGAAGTGATCGGCCGCAGCCTTCCATCGCTGCAGGACCTGTACGTCGCCCGAGGTCGAGGCCGAGCTGGTCTTATCACAGCCGACCCCTCTCACACTGCACATGGACTATTCCAACCACTCGCCTCAAGCAGGAGACTACGGTCCATCAGGATAAAAACCTCCCACTATAAGAACAGTTTCTTCCCCTCGGCTGTTGGACTCTTGAACACTTCATAACCTGTCCCCCCTCCCTTTAGAAGTCCCCTCACTGCCCTTTATTTTGTCACTTTACTGCCCATGATACGTCACTTTACTGATGTCACCTTATATTGCGTGCACCATGTGCACTTTTATATTGTATATAGTATTGTAATAATTCTATTTTAAATTGTATTCCTTACAAGTGTTGCTTATTTTTTTATTTTCTTATTTATTAATCTTTTTTTTATTTTTTATTATGCCTTCTCTATCCTTTACCTCTCTTTCTGACTGTTGCACTGAGCCAAAGCAATTTCCAAGTCTGTGACTTCCTGTTACTGTACTTACGTCGCAATAAAAGTGATTCTATGTTATTCTATTTATCTGATTTCAAACCCTATTTTCAAAACTTTTATGCCTCACATTTTATTTTTTACATCACATTGTTCTATCTGATGTGTCTGTTGCATCTGATTAATTCATATTTTTGTTTTTTTTCTGGTTTTGTTTGCATTTTGATCGATGTTTTTGTAATGCTCTTACGAACACGAATTGTGCTATACAAATAAATGTTGATTGAATATAATTTTCTATTTGTTTCCTCTCAGTTACACACACACATGCACGCATACAGACACAGACATGCACAAATACAGATAATAATGTGGATAATGCAAAAGAGCGCCCCCTGCCTCACGAACCCCACGCAGACCGCCACAGAGAGTACTCTTCATTTAACACTAAATAAATAGAGCGTTCAACAAGATATCACGAAAGCAAGACGCCCTAACAAGACTACAAGCTACTGGTGTACGCCCAGTTATCTGCATGAGGAGCAAGAGGGCATGGAAAATGTATTTATTTATTTAACTCATTCATTTATTTGACAGGCACATTGTACATCAAAAAACATTTCTGTAAATGCACCAGAATTAGCCAAGTAGGCTATTTTTCATCTGAAGTCCCTGGATATAATATATTATGTACATGGAATATATGTTTATAGTATATATTTAGTTATAATGTTTTGTTGTTAATTGTGTTACTTGTATTATTCATATTCTCCCTACAGATTGTGAAGACATCTCTGAGTGTTACAAATGTTATCTGTCGCAGTGTTTTTCAACCAGTGGGCCGTGGCATGTTAGTGCTGTTAAAAGAATGTGAAAAGAAAATAATGTGACAACATAAGAAAGACTTTTTTGCCCTTCTTTGATTTTCGATATCAATGTTCATCAACCTTTTTAAGGCTTTGTACCTATTAATATTATTATTATTATTAAAAGTATATATTTGTTCTTATGGATGCTCATGTGCAATTAAATAAAGACACAATGCATTTATAGGCAGTCGGAGCCGTCTACCTCCAGCTCAGACTGATTATAAACCACATTATTCCAAGCAGACCGAGGATCAATGAAGCATTTACATGCTTATTAGCTGTCAGTATTTCTCCTCTGAATGGATTAATAAACTGCACAGCGGCAGATTGGCAATAATTTCCAGATCACTGCTTGTGGTAACTTTAAAGGTGAAGTGTGCACTATTGAAATGGAAAGCACGTGCTCCTCAACATTCTGAAATTTGATCCCTGTAGAACAATAAACATTTGTTTTTTTTAATAAAACAGAATAGGAGTTGCACCATTTGGAACATTACATACTTTTACATTTAGCCTCTGCACACGATCCATAAAATCACAAAATCTGTTTTATTTTACGGACACTCAAAGACGCTTCACATGTCATCATTCATTCACTTGGTACACAGTAGTGACATTACAAATGTAGCCACAGCTGCCCTGGGGCACACTGATATAAGCGGGGTAACCAGTGTGTGCCTTTGGCCCCTCAGACTCATTTTAATTATATTACATTTTGTCAGTTTGCATGGAATATTCCAGTGTAGATCTATACACTGTTGCTGAGCTCCATGCTGCGTTGAAATCAATGATTCATTTATGAATAGAACTATTACAAGGTTCTAAAATGACAATTTCAGCGTAATGTGGCCCATAATAGTTATAGTTAGTTTTAGTTGTAAAAGTGATATTTCCAATTTTCTAAGCCACATCTTGTATGTCTCTGTGCGCACGGTGCTGAGCTGCAGGCGGTGTGCACGAGTTGAAGTGGTCTCTTTTAAATCGCTGCAGGCTTCCTCTCGTTTGTCCTCAGGCTTCAGCTGGGAATACATTTGAGATTACAATAATAGAAGTTACAAATGTTACTTTACAAACTGTTTCGGTGAATTGCGTGAACGACTTCAGGTGGAAAGTCATTGCAAATTCTGACAAAAAAACATTAATGAATGTTTGAAAAATGATTGAGATTCCTGTTTGGGTAAAGTAAATGGGGAATGGTTACAAGCATGTGCAGTCAGTCACTTGCAGTCATGGTAAAAAAATAAAAAATAAATGTAAAAACAATATTACATGGTCATTTGTTCATGCACAGATTATGGTACTGCGTCACCATTCTCTAATTAGCATTTTTGATCAGCTTTTTTCAAAGAGAAAAGGTAAAAGATAAGCTGACTGGTCTTCCTCGACCAATCAGCTCTCAACTCAAATTACCCTTCTTACAAGAATGCAAAGTGTTAAAAAAATGAAATAAAAAGAGTTTGTGTTGTGTTCTGATTTCACAACATTTTACTGTTATGAGAATTTCAGTTGTGACAAAAAATTCAGTATTTGCAACTATTTCAAAGTTTACTATATAGGGTAAACTTTGGAATAGTTTACACACTCAGCCAGGGATTGAATTGTTTTGGCCATAATTTGGACATTATGAATGATAACACTTGCATCCCCATTCATCATTAATGCTTAAGTATTTCATTTAATTTTTTTTTAACAAAATATTACACATTACATATCATAACATCTGAAATCTTGTTTTAAGATCCAAATGATTTAACCACCTTTGGTAAAGCTCTTTGTAAGGCATATTTTTCTGTAAAATTATACCCATGGAGTAGACTGTAATAGTGCTTATGGACAAAGTTTTGCTCCAACTCGCTCTGGCTCCTGTTGACTTACGTTGATAAGTAAACTTCTATGGTCTATTAAGATTGGGATGAAGAGATCTTTTATTCGTCCCACAGTGGGGAAATTTCAGAGGTATATCACCGGTTACAGAACAGTTGGAATGAGGAACACATAACACGAAGATAAGTGAACAATAACTCGATAAAATACAATAGATTGGAACTTAAGCATAAGAAGATGCAAGTACTGTATGCAATCACTAGCTTTAGCATAATAAGGAAGCATGCTTTACTTGTACCCATCCAACAATCTATCAAAAATGTATAGTGCACAAAGCTAAAGTAGACATTCATCAAAGTTGAAAGCCTAAAATCCTACCAGGGCTACTGGGTTGGAGAGGCCTGGTTCTCACACTCCTTCCTCCCTGGACAAGCCTGTACTCACATATATTGGCGGTCCCTTTGGGGATGGGCAGGTAGGAGCCCACACTCCAGGCCCTCCCGTGGTAGTGCCTCTTACAGCGGCTGCAGTCGGGGCCCGTGGTGTTGTGTTCACACTCGCAGCCCAGCTTCCCCTTGTCGAACACGCAGCTGTTGGCGTGGAGGTTACACTTGCACCTGGGACACAGAGATAGCAGGACACGGCATGTTAATGGCATGACAGAAGTGAACATATTGTGTAAAGTAATGGGAATGTGTGTGTGTGTGTAAATGAAATGAAAAAAATAGTTGAACATAGAGTATCATGTTTGTGGCAGACTATTGGGTTTGGATGTGTATTGAGAAATAACAAGAGTCATAAGGATACTACTTTAAAATCATTCCAGCAGCAATAACACATGGAAGTTTTCCTTAATGCATTAATGCAAATGAGTGGATGCAAAACAACTTCCTTCAGCTAAACACAGACAAAACTTAAATGATTGTCTTAGGCCAGAAGCAAAGAGAGAGCGTCATCTGTCAGCTCCGGTCCCTTGCCATTAAACCTTAGACCAACTCGGACTCTGTGGAGCACAGGGACGGGACTCCTGCTAGTGCCTAGAGTCAGAACTACACATGGGGAGGCTGCATTTCAGATAGGCTGCATTTCACAATTTAAAAATACTACATTTGTCACAGGAAGTTAATTAGCAACAGGAGCGATGCTTTCGATGGGTGCTGATAAAACCAGAACATCTTCTCCATCTCCCACTGATGACTGCTGTCGTTGTGTCCTTGGGCAAGACACTTAACCCCACGTTGCCTGAAGCCCCCCGCTGAAAGATCAAGGCGGTTTCTCAACTGATGGAGCAGCCATCTTCCTGTGGACTCACCCCCTGCAGAAGATCAGTGAGGGACTGGTGCTATGAGCATTGGGTGGCAGCTCTCATTGCCACCCCCCCGACCCAGAAATGGACAAATAAAGGGGTTGAAAATGAATGAATGAATGAATCTTCTCCATCTCAGAAGCCTTTGTCCTTCGTTAATTAGAAGATTCTATCTGACTTTTGTTGTTGTTGAAATCCAGTGTATTTCTATGTTCTTAGTCCTTATCAATTTTGTTGCATTTGATGAAGATTTTCTCAATTGTACGAGTACAAATCCCTATTCCATTTTTCGGTATCGCTTTATATTAAGGTGTGCTTGTTAAGTATTAATAAGGTATTAATAGACATTAGCAACATGCTTATAGATTGCTTATATGTACTTATAAACATATTAATAAGCTGCTCATTTCACTATTCTCTAAATGATGTTGTTCTAGTTATATGCTTTTAAGCATTTAATAAGTAATTAGTAAGATACTTATTAAAGGAGGAATATGTTTATAAATATATGAATAAGCTGCTTATTAAACTATTATCGATACCATGTTAATAGGCCACTAACAATATGCCTATAAAGATATTAATACGCTGCTTATTAATAGGCAATAGTGGTAATAGGCCACTAAAAATATGCGTTAATAAACTGCTTATTACACTATTTTGCAGTACCCTAATCTAAAGCGAGGAGCATTTTTGTTAATGCAGAAAAAAACATAACAATGATCTAAGATGTTTTTATTTATTCAAACAGCAACAATTAAAGTCTAAATGAAAAAATATATCAAAATTAAGTTTGTGCCAAAAGTTTGTTAGTAACTTCAAGGAGCCATGATGCCCCCACTCATGCTCCGACCTGCTCTGTTAATGAATTTGGCTTTGGCAAAACAGTGAATCAGCTGACTTCACGAGCCTGAGAGATTAGCGGAACTCGCCTATTTTTGGGCATCGTCTGGTCCTCCCGGTTCTGCGCAGTTGACGAGCTCCCATGATGCTTTGCGTCAAATACGCGTGCGTGGCTGTCATACACGTGCACATAGGGGCCGCGCTCTGACCAATCAGAGCTGCTGATCAGAGCGAGAGTTAGAGCGGGAGTAAGAGCCAGACGAGTAGAGTTTGTGGCAGTAAAAAGTGGATTTAAAGAAAACTGAAGGATTTAAGAAGAAAAAAAGTTCTAAAAACCCCACAAAATCCGACCTTTATGAAAGCTGTAGGTTCTCTGTCTGCTGAGGTCGAGCTGTTTTAGTTTACATTGAGTTCTATGGGGACAATTTCTGGATAGCCCACGTGAATTTAGTTTGCAGTACCACGAGAATCTCCCGAGCTACAAGCTAGTAATACCCTATCCAGTTATTATAATAGATCCATGTATACAATGCACCTGTGGCACAACCATGGAACTATAATAATAACTGGATAGTGTATTCCTAGCTTATAGCTGTCCCACCCATGGGCACAGGGGGCGCTGTGGTACTGCAGACTAAATTCACGAGGGCTACCCAGAAAAAGTCCCATAGAACTCAATGTAAATTAAAACAGCTCGACCTCAGCTGACAGAGAACCTGACAGAGAACCCACAACTTTCATAAAGTTCGGATTTTCTGGGGATTTTAGTGTCCCTTGTCATCCTGAACTTTTTTTCTTCTTAAATCCTTCAGTTTTCTTTAAAGTGGTTCTCACCCCCGCTCCTCGGAGCTTACGTCACTCACATTTCCTGTTCAAATCTTCCTCTAAATGGGCGTAGCCTGGAGGACTAAAGGGGGCGTGAACGAGACTGGGCCGTTTATATAGCTCTGGGCGGGGGGCTGCTGACGTCAGGTCTCAGGCGCCAGATTCAAAATTCAAATGTAGTAATACAGGTCGCCAGCAGATGGCGCCTCACAGATGGTTTTAGGCAGAAAGTTTAACTTTCAACTAATTTGCACCAAAGTGACAAAATTATGACCAGGATATGTAGACAACACTATTGGACACTCATTTATACCGTTTATCAGCAAAAAAAAAAAGTGGATTTGAGGGTGAGTTGTCCTTTAAATCCACATTTTACGGCCACAAACTCTACTCGTCTGGCTCCCGCTATAACTCTCGCTCTAACTCTCGCGCCAATCAGCAGCTCTGATTGGTCAGAGCACGGCCCCTCTATGCACGTGCATGACAGCCATGCAAGCGTATTTGGCGCAAAGCATCATGGGAGCTCGTCCACTGCGCAGAACCGGGAGGACCAGACGATGCCCAAAAATAGGCGAGTTCCGCTAATCTCTCAGGCTCGTGAAGTCAGTTGATTCACTGTTTTGCCAAAGCCAAATTCATTAACAGAGCAGGTCGGAGCATGAGTGGGGGCATCATGGCTCCTTGAAGTTACTAACAAACTTTTGGCACAAACTTAATTTTGATATATTTTTTCATTTAGACTTTAATTGTTGCTGTTTGAATAAATAAAAACATCTTAGATCATTGTTGTGTTTTTTTCTGCATTAACAAAAATGCTCCTCGCTTTAGATTAGGGTACTGCAAAATAGTGTAATAAGCAGTTTATTAACGCATATTTTTAGTGGCCTATTACCACTATTGCCTATTAATAAGCAGCGTATTAATATCTTTATAGGCATATTGTTAGTGGCCTATTAACATGGTATTGATAATAGTTTAATAAGCAGCTTATTCATATATTTATAAACATATTCCTCCTTTAATAAGTATCTTACTAATTACTTATTAAACGCTTAAAAGCATATAACTAGAACAACATCATTTAGAGAATAGTGAAATGAGCAGCTTATAAATATGTTTATAAGTACATATAAGCAATCTATAAGCATGTTGCTAATGTCTATTAATACCTTATTAATACTTAACAAGCACACCTTAATATAAAGCGTTACCCATTTTTCCTCATGGCATGACATCTTAGTTCATAGATGAAGACAAAGTGTGACAGAATGTAATATCCTGCTTCTACTTCCACCAGGTGGAAGCGTTTTGTCACCATCCAACGTCCTGCTATTGAAGATACACAAACATAGAGATCATTTTTAAATAACTACACCAGGAGTGGCCAACCCGCGGCTCGTGAGCCGCATGCGGCTCTTTGGCTGGTTCCGTGCGGCTCTCGGGCTTTCACACGACAAGCGTCAAAAACGCCTCGGTGGTGGTGCTGCCTTTCATTCCCTATGTAGTTCTGACCCATAGTAAAGGCGGACTCCACTCCACTAGCCGGGCCGCCAAAACAATCTGACGTCGGCGAACGTCAATTCTGATTGGTCAGATGCGCTGTCTCTCACTCTGCAGCTATTGCCTCAGCGGTTGCAAATATCATAACAAACAACACGTTGCCTCGACCCATGACGTCCGTACGGAAAACAATTCCTTGGTCGCTGGATGAGGGCAACACCTTCCTCAGTTTGAAGAGAGGACACCAGCGTGAGCTCGATGGTTCCAACAGAAACCAGAAGGTGTTTGTGGAGCTAGCGCTAAGGACGGAGCAGAATGATTCCCACGAACATGACAATGCAGAGAAAAGTTAAAAAGCTGACAACCGTGAAATGAAAGATCACAGCAGCAGAAGTAGAGGCAAAACCGAAAAGTCTGGAGGTGGTTTGACCAAATGGATTAAATTTACGGACATCGGCTAACACCGGCTAACATGCTAAAACCAGCTAGCACCAGCTACACCAGGAGATAAGCCAACTCTGCCTGGTGAGTGTCTGTCTTCAATCAAATGCAAAACTATCTGGTCTTATACTGAACATGTGTCTGTGGTTCTGAATCAGCAAAAGTGGTGTTGGTGTTATGTGTCAAATCTATATCTTTTGCTAAACGCAGTCAGAGAGTGAATCATGGTTCGATAAAGACAGTTGTGTTTCTGCTGAATACTGGTTTGAAACTTGCTTTTTTCATTGCGGAATCATAATTGATGTTCGCTGACGTGATATTGTTCTGGTATCGACTCGCCCGGTTAGAACCAGGGCCAAACCATTAATAAAAAGTACCGGGGAGCGGTTAAAGCGAGCGGTGGAAGCGCCCGCAAACCAGGGAGAGTCGAGTCCAGCCCTTTAGTACTGTACAAGTCAATTTCTTTCATTATCATGTTGATGACATTTACAATAAATCTGTCTGAGCAGCGGTGTGTGTGTGTGCACGCGCGTGTGTGCGTGTGTAAGGGATGGGGTGATGTTTATGTAGTGCACATTTGTATGATGTGGCTCTTTGCTGTAACACAGTAAAAAAATTGGCTCTTAGTCTGTGACTGGTTGGCCACCCCTGAACTACACGATTGAGGAAGAAGTATTGACGCAAAAGGGATGTGTTTACACCAGAGGCTTCCGCATAGAGCTTGGCTGGAGCTGAAATAATATGTCTCCTTTAAACAGCTTCTTTGAGAACACAGATAAATGCATCGGTTTAATATTAGCGCTTTTTCACATGACATTCCTTCACTCTATACACGGTGGTGATAAACTACTGTAGCCACAGCGGCCCTCGAGCACAATGACAGAAATTATCATATTGCAGTAACTTGCAGCATTGATGGTAAGGGGCTACCTTACCATCAATGCAGCTTGATCTCTGCATACTACTGATGATTTATTAACTCCGAAAGTTATTACTAAATGTTGATTTGATGCTTGTTGTAATTTTTCAAGAACACACGTTGGTTCAACCTGGCAAATAACACCTTCAGCTCTTCTGCAGAACCAGTGTTCGATTTAAGTCCAAACACGCCGTTTTTATTGTCAGTTTTTTGGCATACAACGTGATCACACTTTTTTTTCCTTCTCACATCATTCCTGCGTTAAACTTCAAAACAAAACAATTGAAATGAATAAGACACATCTTGCATGTCGCTGCTGTGGCTGAGAATAACAACAAAGTCATGCAGAAAAAGGTCAATTTTTCCACTTGCTGCTAAATGAAAGACTTCGCCGTTCGATTCACTAATTAGGCTCCAGACAGCGATCAGCTAGAGCAGTGATAGCAGGAGAAAACGCTGCTTAGCTTGAGATTGGATCCTTTTTACTTCAAAGTTTGAGGGTTTATTTGGACAGATACGCTTCGAGCCGGACACCTACCGACCACGAGCTGTGTTATTAGAAAGAGAGAGGGATACATCCTGACATACGCACACAGACAGCCGAGAAGCAAACAAAAAAGGCCTTCAAAAATCAGGCCGATGCACTCACCACGCGGCGGACAATGAGAGGAGAAAGAGCCAAAATGTCTGACAAGCTCGTGGGAAGGCAAGACAGCTTCCAGTTGGAGTTTGAGGCTAGTTACAAAACCAGATCCATGGGGGACTGTGCAGTTTCCACAAATTCTACTATTTAATTGCATGTAGCTGGAATGGTTCGTGTTGAGTTCAAACTGGGCATCCGTACTGCTCTGTATTGGACTTTATTCAGAACAAACTTTTCTCACCATGTGCTATTTAGTTATCTGATAATGTAGTAAACTCATTAATTGTTCATACTTTGTCCCAGCAGTCAGTTATTCCTCATACTATACACCACACATTCCTATTACCTTTTCAAATCATCGTACATTAAACAGAGCGAGCACCGCGATTGGTGAATGGTCACAAATAAATACTTATTCTGGATAAGACCTAGTTTTTGTCATATGAGTCATGTGACTGAAGAAAATTCTGCAGACTTGTGCAAGTTCCACACTTGTTTATGTTTTTGGTACACATGCATTTGTCCCAATGCCTTATTTAGAATGTGGGAGTTTTGAGGTGGAGGGTGAAGACCGACGAGAGATATGAACTCTTCTGCATTTGGTAAGATTATCAATCATCTCTAATTCAAGAAGTGCACTGATTCTCCTGTTCATCTCAGGTTTGGGACATGTTGTCTCTGTCCACAGGCCGACCATTGCAGCAGGTTCGGGAGTCAGCCAACTTCTTGTCCAAACAAACAGAGGCTCTCCATGCCTGCTCCAGGCCAGTGACGTGGTCCTGGAACTGACACCAACAGTCTTCTCCGGCCTGTGGCAGCTCCCGTCTGACACGCGCACTTTCATCATGCCTTCCACTTCCCTCAGTGTTACAGCCATCGCTCTGACACTATCAACAATACTTATTGTCATCACATTGGAGTAAAAAGATGAAGGATGTGTGCTGGACAAATGCTTTAGAAAACCATGACTCGTTTCTCATTAGAAAATGAAGAGCCCTGTGCAGTATGCAGCGACGGCTCTTCCTCAGGATGAGAGCAGTGGAACTTCAGAAGAACCTGCTGTGGAAACTTGAGGAACTAAAGTTTCATGTCCAGGTCACAGCTCTGGCCAAAACCAAACCCCTGCGCTTGAAGAGATCTCTGAACTCTATGGTGGCTGGTGGCACTTTTTGTGCATGTTGAGCCGGTCAAAAATGCATTGATAATATAAAAAAATGAACAACCAAGTATGAATGACAGCATCTAAACTCAATTTTTTCCAATATTCTGACAGTCAAACCAAACCAGAAAGATGCAGCCCCACATTCTCTGTAAACATTGTAGTGATTGTGTGTCACCGACATAAAACAGAATATCTGACGTTGCTTTTTTCAATGTTTATTACATCATTGATTTTACTCACTATGGCATGTATTGATCAGTACCTTTATGTTCTTTTCCCGTAAACCAAATACAGTGACCCCACATATGAAATATATATAAATTTGTGTAATAATTTCAGTTTTAAAACTACACAAATCTATAATTGCAATAAATGAGTTGTTCTTGAATTGTTGCAATGCATATTAAGGATTACATTTAACGATTCGTAGCATGGTGTCTTATTTTCAGCTTCCGGCAAGACGTTTACTCACAGTGCCGTGTGTCGGAGGCTGTGTTTGTTGTCACGGTAATAAAATCTTCCAGTGTCATATTCCGCGTGTTTTCCAAATATAATTCTCTGTATTTGATTTTTCTCCTTAGAGGGTAAAAGGTTACACAAGCAATGACCCGTGCCTTCTCTTTGCCCATAATCTGGCGGTGGGGGCGGGCTGAGACACGCGAGCTGTCCCAGGGGTCAGGCCGATCATAGTTTCATATCGAAACATTGTTTGTTTATTACATGGTGCTTAGAGAGGGGAGCAGAGCCAGAGAACACGAGCCTGAGGGATGACAGCACCGGTCACTAAACCATCTATTCTAATTGACTTCCTGACCTCGCTGTGACATCCAGCATTAATGATACACAACAGCGGGAAGCCAGAAAAAATATTGTTGACCACGGAAGGAAAGTTTAGTTGTGCAGCACATTTCTAAATCAAGGCAGTTTAAAGTGCTTAAAAAAACAAGAAAGTAAATAGTAGAATCATACAAGGCATTAGAATCATAAACAATCACAGTACATTAACAAGAGTGGAGATACAATCAGTTGTTTGCGCAGCTAAACAGAACATTAACCTGGATTTGAACTTTGGCAGAGTGGAAGCTTATTTCACATTTTCAGGAAGGCGGAAATAGATGCTGAATACATCTGAAATGCTGCTTCTCTATGTTTAGTTCTGACTTTCTGGGCACCACAGGAGGTCAGTCCCTGTGCTCCCTAAGAGTCCCAGCAGGAGGCCAGTCCCTGAGTCCGACTTGGTTCATATGACTCTAACATGGCACAGATGTACTCCTGCCTCAGTCCTGTGCTTAGATGTTCTGTGCAAGTCCATGGTGAGACTTGAACACAAGCTGAGCTGCTGTAAAGTCAATTCTCTTGCAGCCACAGGACGCCAGAACCTTCTACAGATAATGGTGGTGGTAAACGATTAGTCAGATATGTGTTGGATTGAGCCCAGACATACTGTAGACTTTGTTTGAGATTTGGTCACGGTTTCGTTCAATTTTGTTTTTCCAGTTGGATGGCCGTAACACAGTTGATAGAGCATCTACCTGAGCTGAAGGTTGGCTGTTCAAATCGGTTTCAGATCGGTTTGCAAGTGTGAAACCGCCTCCGCCATGTGTCCTTGGGCAAGACGCTTAACCTGCCTCACCCCTGGTGTCTGCGCACACTAGTGTATGAATGCATGAGTGACTAGAAAAGTGGTTTGTTGATGTGAAGTGCTTTGAGTGCCTTGAAAAAGTAATTGCTGTATGTAAGAAGAATGTACGATTATATTATGCAGCTGTTTGATATCTGCAGTATACTCGTGTTGGTTATACTGAACCTAATATATTTTTAAATATAGTTTATCTACTACATCAATAGGGCTTGTTATTGTCCCTTGCCATCTTTAGTCCGCCTGTTATTGTGTAAGTGCTGTCAATACAACTACTTCAATTCTGTGATACTGTGAATTGAACTGAATACTGTGATCATCTATGATTTGAATGCCTTGTATGGATCTGTCTATCTTGTATTGTTAAGCACTTTGAGTTGCCTTGTATTGAACTGTGCTAAATAAATAAACTTCCCTTGCATTGATACTGTACAAAAGGATAAATAACCTTTTCTCTTGTATAACATAGTGATTCTCCCAACAAAAAGAGTTTTGTAAAAGTAAAATATAAAGCTTTAGTCAATTTGTCGATCCATTGGTGGGTGATATCTATCAACAAATCTGTACTTATTTCAATGCAAGGATTGAAACATTAAAGATTATTGTATTTACTTTGATATTGAGTCCAGATACGTATATATCTCAATCCAGCTGTTTGATCAAGCTACTCTACTCTACTATTTTATTTCAAAATAGTTACTCCATCCACGGGCGACAGTGGCTCAGTTGGTAGAGTATTTACCTTTGGGCCTGAAGGTCGTGGGTTCACAAGACCTACTTCACGACTCCCACTGCTGTTGTAGTGTTCTCGGGTAGACAATAAACCCCACATTGCCTGATGCCCCCGCTGAATAGTCAAGGCTGCTGTGGACTCACCACCTGCAGGAGGATCAGTGAGGGGCTGGTGCTCTGTGTACTGGGTGCAGCTCTGACTGCTACCCCCCCGACCCAGAAATTGATTAAGAGGAAGAAAATGGATGGATGGATGGTTACGCCCCTTTTTAGTCAATTGCTATAACTGACCAAGAATTTGACATTATACAGCCACTATTTAATGCTTTGAGCTGAGAGCTGATTGGCTGAATGAGCGTGGTCCCCTATTTTCCACTTACTGTCTGAAAAAGCTGAAACATGCGTGTTAAAACTAGCAGGAACCACACTGTTTTGAGAGCAAGGAACACAATACTACCCCAGCTTTATTATGTTAATGATTCCACTTTAAAACTAAGCAATTATCGCCACAATTATTTTCAAACGCACATAAACGGAAGTGCCTCTTACCTTGCGCTCCCTATACTGCCCTTAACTTTTTTAATCAATTACTATAAAGCATCGCTCCATAAAATTAATGACCAGGAGTGTTGTGGCACCACATAGACAGCACAAACTCCCCGAAGTCACCAGCGATGAGATCTGACCTTCTACTTAATTAAAAACCAGCGAAAATCTGGATCAGCGAGTCCGACCGGAGCGAGGCACTGCTCTAAGGACCCATGGGGGACGGGGGGCTAGGATGCAGTGCTATTGCCGTCGGCATTGTCATATTGAAAGCTCAAAGTTTTACATCACAGTCACAAGAGATTCTGCAGCGCCCCCAGCTGTCCAAACTCGTGAACGAGCGGTGTTATAAAGGGACACATTTTAATGACCTTTTTATCCTGTGTGTAGCCAATTGGTATGATCCATTATCTAAAGAAAAAAAGTCACCCAGGAGACAGAGAGGGCCACGGCACAATGTCCTTTCACATAAGAGAGAGTAAAAAACAGGTGGAGTATACGTTACCATGAGTAAAATGCAAGGTTAAAAAGTTCATTAGAGTCAAATCACCTCAAATGTTCAATTCAATTCTTGTATAGCCCTAAATCACAACAGTAATTATCTCGGAGGACTTTACACAAACGTTGAATTCGCCAACACAGATCAGAGAATCAAACCGTTCAAACACAAAAAAATAACAGAAAACAAAAGAGGTAGATAACCAATGTCCATAAGAGTTGATACATGTCCATAAATGTTGTTGAGTGTCCCAGATCATCACCACTGTCCTTTTAGTTAGACAGACCCTCCTGCATCAGACAAACTCTACCCTCAATAAGAAAAGTGAAAAACCTCGGGGAGATCTACTTTGAGAGAGGACTCAGGCTACAGCTCTAGGACCAAGGCCACACGGTGCAGGCAGCTCCCAGGCGGCGAGGGGGTGTAGGCCACAAGACGGGCCGGGCAGGGCAGTCCGTAGGTGCAGATGTTACATGTTGTTGCTGTGTCTATGTCATGCAGGCATAGCTTCAACTTCACAGCATTGTTTCTTCATCATAAACAGATCTGGAGTTTCTAAAGCTCAGTTCACGCACAAACGAGCACAAACAAGTGTCCCCGCCCCATCAGTCTAAATGCTCTCAACAATTAGCTTGAAAACAGGATTCTCATAGCCTCATGTTGCAGCTCTTGTACTGTCCGTCATAATAATGCTGGGGAAACATTCCATGAGCTGTTTTAAGGTTGTCAAAAAGCCTACAATGACATATCTGGTAATATTTCAATAAACAACATCCAGCCATCTTCAGCTTGGGTTCGTTCACTCCAAGCTAGAATTGAAATCTAAAGACAACTAAAACACAAAATGTCTTTAATAAAATTCAAATGTCTGCGTTTCTGAGTTAAAACAAAATATAGCCCCAGATGCAAAAGATACACAAAGGATACATTCTCTCTCTTTCCTTCTCTTCTCTTCCTTCTCTAATTTTTTTTAAACTGACGCTTACACCTAAATACTATAATATGTTGTTCCAATTTAAATTAAATGGTAATCATTTGAAAACGAGGCCCTCCACAATGTATCAATATCCTAATGGCTCAATCCCCATGACAAGGGTCCGACTCCATTTTGGAATTTCTCTAAACATATCTAAAATATACATAGAGTTAATTCATTCATGGTGTAAGTATGTTTATATATTTTCTATTATATTAACCTTCTAAAGCACAAAATGCAAAGTTAATATTCTCTTAATCATGAGTGCACCATGAGCGTGACTAATGTGTGGTATTTGTTCAAAAGTCCAATGATAGATACTGTAAAAGTTCAAGGATAGATGACTGTGAATAAACTAGTCACATTTCAACAACATAATCTCTTGAATACATGTTGTCAGCCGCTGGTTCAAAACTACAGGTTATCTGGACATCAGCACAAACAGACAAGTTTTACAGACTACAATCTAGTCCGGGTCTCTGCTGGATGGAAAACAGCAGAAGAGTGACCAAGAATGAACCAAAAGCTCTGTCCTTATACCCTGATAATTTGAAACACATGTCCCAACATCCTTAGGTGAAGACAATAGCTTCTCTGTTCAGGGCAAACACATAGCCCCTCTCAAAGCAAGCCCGAGGCCACTCCAAACAGATGCTCTCTACGCTCTTCTTAATTTAACTTCCTGTGTTTCATGGGGGATGGGAGAGAATGCTGCTGATGCGCCCATCACATCCCATCACACACATAGGTTAACCCAAAACTGTCTAAACTTTGAATATATTCTAATTCACTTTAATGAAAATCCAACAATTCTACTAACATTCCCTCCTTTTTTTCATTAAAAGAATTAATAACATTCAATGTTTAGTAAACCAACTTAAAAATGGAACACAATGAAATTAATACAAACACAGTATTACATTTGAATCCAAGTTGCATCGACTCAACTTAAAGACCCCTCTTCACATGTGTCTTATAAAAATCACATTGGTTACAGAAACACACACAGAAAAGAACTCAAAAAAAAGTTTTTTAGAGATCATTTCATATTCATATGTAATTGCTCCCCCATAAACCATATCTCCCCCCTGTTTGAGACATTAAAAATGGTTCAATAACTAAACATAATTCCTAATTATTCATGTGTATGAAATGAAAAAGACACAAATACCCAATTTACTCATGTAAATTAATGTAGCATCAACATTTTTAAACTAAACGTTCATTTGAAATGTATTAACCTGGAATGTTTTCACCTGAAATGTATTAACTTGAAATGTTTCCACCTGAAATGTA